TTTCTATGAAGCTTTTCAAGGGAAACTATTATGTTTAGTATGTCACCTATGCACGCAACTAATAAGTCAATATTGACTTATTAAATTTGCGAGAACGGGTTGAACAGTGAGGTACAGGTGTGGCGGCGACAAGCGGGTGTGGACACAAGACCTGCAGGGGAAGGTCTATGACCAATTAACGCGGCGTTTATGGCGGCCATAACCACCTGCTCAAAAGTGTGCCCCCCGCCCCCCCGGTAACGTCCGGAGGGGGGCGGCGAGTGTTGATGGGGGCGTGTGTGAAGCCTGACACCCTCTACGTGGCCCCGGAAGTCTGCCATAAGGGCAACGATGGCCGTGTTTATGTTCTTCCCTCTTGTGTGTGTTGTGCCTGTGTCTCCCCCCCCCCACCCCGGGGATGTGTGTCCCCCCCCCAGCCCCCCGGGGATGTGTGTCCACCCCCCCCCCTCAGTGTGTCCACCTCCCTCAGTGTGTCCACCTCCCTCAGTGTGTCCACCTCCCTCAGTGTGTCCACCCCCTCAGTGTGTCCACCCCCTCAGTGTGTCCACCCCTCAGTGTGTCCACCCCCCTCAGTGTGTCCACCCCCCTCAGTGTGTCCACCCCCTCAGTGTGTCCACCTCCCTCAGTGTGTCCACCCCCCTCAGTGTGTCCACCCCCTCAGTGTGTCCACCCCCTCAGTGTGTCCACCCCCTCAGTGTGTCCACCCCCTCAGTGTGTCCACCTCCCTCAGTGTGTCCACCCCCCTCAGTGTGTCCACCCCCCTCAGTGTGTCCACCTCCCTCAGTGTGTCCACCTCCCTCAGTGTGTCCACCTCCCTCAGTGTGTCCACCCCCCTCAGTGTGTCCCCCCCCTCAGTGTGTCCACCCCCTCAGTGTGTCCACCCCCTCAGTGTGTCCACCCCCCTCAGTGTGTCCACCCCCTCAGTGTGTCCACCCCCCTCAGTGTGTCCACCCCCTCAGTGTGTCCACCCCCTCAGTGTGTCCACCTCCCTCAGTGTCCACCCCCCTCAGTGTGTCCACCCCCCTCAGTGTGTCCACCCCCCTCAGTGTGTCCACCCCCTCAGTGTGTCCACCCCTCAGTGTGTCCACCCCCCTCAGTGTGTCCACCCCCTCAGTGTGTCCACCCCCCTCAGTGTGTCCACCCCCCTCAGTGTGTCCACCCCCCTCAGTGTGTCCACCCCCCTCAGTGTGTCCACCCCCCTCAGTGTGTCCACCCCCCTCAGTGTGTCCACCCCCCTCAGTGTGTCCACCTCCCTCAGTGTGTCCACCCCCTCAGTGTGTCCACCTCCCTCAGTGTGTCCACCCCCCTCAGTGTGTCCACCCCCCTCAGCGTGTCCACCCGCTCCCTCAGCGTGTCCACCCCCCCCCCCCTCAGCGTGTCCACCCCCCCCCCCTCAGCGTGTCCACCCCCCCCCCCCTCAGTGTGTCCACCCCCCTCAGCGTGTCCACCCCTCAGCACCGGACAGTGTGAATGATCCAATGTGGACTAAAATAACTGGGTTTGCACAGGACCATTACCATGATAAATGGACTGATAGCTTGACTGTTAAATGTGTATTGGGGAGAGGTGGACCAGCCTGGCCTGGTCTGGCCTGGCCTGGTCTGGCCTGGCCTGGTCTGGCTTGGCCTGGCCTGGCCTGGCCTGGTCTGGCCTGGCTGGCTGGCCTGGCCCTGGCCTGGCTTGGCCTGGCCTGGCCTGGTCTGGCTTGGTCTGGCCTGGTCTGGCTTGGCCTGGCCTGGTCTGGCTTGGCCTGGCTTGGCCTGGCCTGGCCTGGCCTGGCCTAGCCTGGCGAGAAGAGACCACTCCAACATAATAGTATTGTGTGGAAGCGTAGTGAACGTTGCAGAGAGAATAGTTAGGCAGCAGGTGGCGAGTGTCGAGGGTGTCTGGCACCGTAGTGGGTGACCTGCGTAAGGCTTTTGACACTGTCAACCACCAAAACCTTCTTCTTAAATTACATCATTATGGAGTCAGAGGACACTCCTGGCAATACCTCAAATCCTACCTAACTGACAGGCTCCAGTATGTTTCTGTGAATAATTCAATTTCTACCACCCTACCCATCAACATTGGTGTTCCTCAGGGCAGCATACTTGGCCCTCTCCTCTTTCTCATCTACATTAATGACCTTCCAAATGCCTCCCAACACCTCAAACCAATTCTATTTGCTGACGACACAACCTTCATTTACTCCAGTCCTGACCCCCTTGCTCTAAATGCCACAGTAAATACTGAGCTAGAGAAAGTCCATCTTTGGCTAACTGCCAACAAACTCACCCTTAACATTGACAAAACTTTCTATATTCTGTTTGGCAATAAATCCTCTAATCAGATAAATCTCAAAATAAACAATACCCAAATTTGTAACATATTAGATGGCAAATTCCTTGGCATTCTCATTGACCACAATTAAGCTGAATTTCCAGGGACACATTCTAAATATATCAAAAAAGTTTCAAAAACTGTTGGCATTCTTTCTAAGATCAGATATTATGTACCCCGCCCTGCCCTGGTGACTCTCTTACTCCCTCATCTATCCATATCTCAACTATGGTATTTGTGCTTGGGGCTCTACTACCCAAAATCACTTACGTCCTCTAATTACTCAACACAAGGCTGCTATTAGGACAATATCCAACTCTGGCCCCAGACATCACTCGGTACCCCTACTCAAATCTCTGAATATGTTATCTATTAAGTCACTGCACATTCTCTCATGTGTATTATACATATATAAAACGCTGAACTGTAATGCCAATCCTGACCTCAAAAGCTTCATAGAAGGTTGTAACAGAACCCATGAGCATCACACCAGAAATAAATAGTTTTGATATTCCTAGAGTACGACTTAATCAAACTAGAAATGCTCTACAAATCAAGGGACCCAGAATGTGGAATGACCTTCCCAACCATGTTAAAGACTGTACCTCTCTCAACCAGTTTAAGATAAAAACGAAGCACTACCTAATAAATTCCCTGTAACCTACCTTACTCCTCTATTGTCAACCATTGTCTGGTTTGTTTAACAACGCTGTTTGTCGACCTAATTGTATTTGTGCTGCTTTTTCAGCCATGTTCCCCTTTTTTTATCTCTATTTTTATTTGTTCTCAACACATTTTATTCTTTATGCTCAATTAGTATTAAGCTTTAGTCATTAATGTTTTTCATGCCCGAAACGCTTTGCGTAATAGTGGCTTTAGGCATTGTATGTACTAGCCCTATCTATAAATCCATCACTCCTTGTAAAATCTCTTGTATGTATGTACCTTACCTAAATAAACATATATTTATTTATTTTTATTTATAAAATGCGTTCAAAAGGAATTACCGGAAAAATAGGCAGATGGATCTACAATTTCCTGACTAACAGAACCCAATGTGTAATAATCAACAAAATAAAATCCAGCCCATCAACCGTGAAGAGCTCAGTCCCCCAGGGTACTGTGCTTGCTCCAGTACTTTTTCTCATCCTCATATAGGACATAGACCAGAACACAACCTATAGCACTGTATCATCCTTTGCAGATGACACTAGGATTTTCATGAGAGTAGACAACATAGAGGACACGGCAAACCTCTAATCAGGTGTAGATCAGGTCTTTCTATGGGCTACAGAAAATAATATGGTGTTTAACGAAGATAAGTTCCAGCTCATGCGCTACGGAACAAATGAAAATATAAAAACGGAAACCACGTACAAAACTCAGGCAAATCATGACATAGAACGAAAAGGCAATGTAAAGGACCTGGGTGTACTCATGTCGGAAGACTTTACCTTTAAAGAACACAATAAAGTAGCCGTCACAACTGCAAGAAAAATGACAGGTTGGATAACAAGAACTTTTCACACCAGAGATGCTATACCAATGATGATACTCTTCAAGACGCTAGTGCTCTCTAGAGTAGAGTACTACTGCACAATGACAGCCCCTTTCAAAGCTGGAGAAATTGCTGACCTGGAGAGCGTGCAGAGATCCTTTACTGCTAGAATCCACTCAGTAAAACATCTAACCTATTGGGACCGACTAAAGAGCCTAAATCTGTATTCTCTTGAGCGCAGGCGGGAGAGATACATAATAATTTACACATGGAAAATATTAGAGGGGCTGGTCCCAAACCTGCACACAGAAATATCACATGAGACCAGGAGGCATGGCAGGATGTGCAGAATACCCCCGTTGAAGAGTAGAGGTGCAACAGGTACTCTGAGAGAGAACTCTATCAACATCAGAGGCCCAAGACTGTTCAACACGCTTCCACTACACATAAGGGACATAACTGGCCGACCCCTCACAGTGTTCAAGAGAGAACTATCAACATCAGAGGCCCGAGACTGTTCAACACGCTTCCACTACACATAAGGGACATAACTGGCCGACCCCTCACAGTGTTCAAGAGAGAACTATCAACATCAGAGGCCCGAGACTGTTCAACACGCTTCCACTACACATAAGGGGCATAACTGGCCGACCCCTCACAGTGTTCAAGAGTGAACTCGATAAGCACCTCTAAAGGATAACTGATCAACCAGGCTGTGATTCGTACGTCAGGCTGAGAGCAGCCGCGTCCAACAGCCTGGTTGACCAGTTAAGCAACCAGGAGGCCTGGTCGGGGACCGGGCCGCGGGGACGCTAAGCCCCGGAATCACCTCAAGGTAACTTCAAGGTAAAGTAATTTAGGGTGTGGTCCATGGTTGTAGGGTGTGGTCCATCGTTGTAGGGTGTGGCCCATGGTTTTAGGGTGTGGCCCATGGTTGTAGGGTGTGGTCCATGGTTGTAGGGTGCGGCCCATGGTTGTAGGGTGTGTCATATAAGGTATACACTGTAACATTTTAAGTGTGTCAACAGAGTTGAACAGTGTGAGTGTGTCAACAGAGTTGAACAGTGTGAGTGTGTCAACAGAGTTGAACAGTGTGAGTGTGTCAACAGAGTTGAACAGTGTGAGTATGTCAACAGAGTTGAACAGTGTGAGTGTGTCAACAGAGTTGAACAGTGTGAGTGTGTCAACAGAGTTGAACAGTGTGAGTGTGTCAACAGAGTTGAACAGTGTGAGTGTGTCAACAGAGTTGAACAGTGTGAGTGTGTCAACAGAGTTGAACAGTGTGAGTGTGTCAACAGAGTTGTGAGTGTGTCACAGTGTGAGTGTGTCAACAGAGTTGAACAGTGTGAGTGTGTCAACAGAGTTGAACAGTGTGAGTGTGTCAACAGAGTTGAACAGTGTGAGTGTGTCACAGAGTGAACAGTGTGAGTGTGTCAACAGAGTTGAACATTGTGAGTGTGTCAACAGAGTTGAACAGTGTGAGTGTGTCAACAGAGTTGAACAGTGTGAGTGTGTCAACAGAGTTGAACAGTGTGAGTGTGTCAACAGAGTTGAACAGTGTGAGTGTGTCAACAGAGTTGAACAGTGTGAGTGTGTCAACAGAGTTGAGCAGTGTGAGTGTGTCAACAGAGTTGAGCAGTGTGAGTGTGTCAACAGAGTTGAGCAGTGTGAGTGTGTCAACAGAGTTGAACAGTGTGAGTGTGTCAACAGAGTTGAGCAGTGTGAGTGTGTCAACAGAGTTGAGCAGTGTGAGTGTGTCAACAGAGTTGAGCAGTGTGAGTGTGTCAACAGAGTTGAGCAGTGTGAGTGTGTCAACAGAGTTGAGCAGTGTGAGTGTGTCAACAGAGTTGAACAGTGTGAGTGTGTCAACAGAGTTGAACAGTATGTTTCTAATTTTCACTGTATATTACTTTCAGGTGAGTGCTGCTCTGGAGTAGGGTTCGAACCAGGGTCTGGGAGGAGTATTGTAACCTCGCGCCATAAGTCTTCACGAGAGCTCTTAGCATCCAACCATAATTTGGCGGGTAAGTGGGCCAGCCGTCAGTGCATATTTTTGGCGGGAGAAAGTTAGTATCAGGAATCCCTTTTGGCGTTGAAGTTATTGCCAGGGAAGAAATTTTGGCGTGTAGTGGCTATAGCCAACACGTATCCGGCTTCCAGCGGCAAGATAGCCATCCAGAAGGTGCATTTTGGCGGGAAAGCATCAAGAACAAAACAGGTTATGGCTGGGGAGAGTTATGGAGGTTAAGGCACCTGGGAACGATAGCACCTTTGGGGCACGTTCTGACCGCTAGGGTGCCACAACCATATATATTTTGGCGCGATATTTGACGCTCAGAATATTAATTTTAGGAAGTCGCTGGAACCAAAAGTACCCGAATCCATGCTGGAGTGTCGCGGATAAGACACATTTTGGCGGGAAAGATTACCAACACTCAAAGGTCATTTTGGCGGGAAGAGCTGACGTAGCCATAGGGAAGGTCACCAGGCGGGAGGTGCACTTTGTCCATTAATTTAGAGCCCCGGTTGAGTGCCAGGAAAGACCACTACGGGCTCACTCCTGAACAAATAGCCTGGACGAGTCACAACGGAAAGATTGATGATATTCTGGAAAGATATAAGAATTTTGCACCAAGACTGTAACTGTGTCGAATTGTCTGAATGTCTATTGCAAATGGTCTTTGTCCCTAGTCATACAAGTATTGTGTGTATGTCTGGTAACATTACATGTGTAAAGGAAGACATGTTTATACTTTGCACATGTTTATCACCGTTCTGAGTGTGTGTGTGTGTGTTTATCACTCAGAATGTTCAGTAATATGTTTATTGTTTGTTATATGTGTACTCACCTAGTTGTGTTTGCGGGGGTTGAGCTCTGGCTCTTTGGTCCCGCCTGGGGCTCTACTGTGTGTGTGTGTATGTGTGTGTGTATGTGTATGTGTGTGTGTGTGTGTGTGTGTGTGTGTGTGTGTGTGTGTGTGTGTGTGTGTGTGTGTGTAAGGAGGCGCTGGAGCCGTGTGTGAGCCAGTGGGCCTCCTGCAGTGATTTATATCATCTTATAAATATATTGTGCCGGAGTTCGCTCCATCATACCGGCCTGATGGTGGTGGTGGTGACTCTTATTGGTAATGTGTCTCCGGTATTACCCCCCCCCCCCCCCCCCCGCTTGTCTCCTGCCGTGTGTATAGCGGCCAGGCTTGTCTCCTGCCGTGTGTATAGCGGCCAGGCTTGTCTCGTGCCGTGTGTATAGCGGCCAGGCTTGTCTCCTGCCGTGTGTATAGCGGCCAGGCTTGTCTCGTGCCGTGTGTATAGCGGCCAGGCTTGTCTCGTGCCGTGTGTATAGCGGCCAGGCTTGTCTCCTGCCGTGTGTATAGCGGCCAGGCTTGTCTCGTGCCGTGTGTATAGCGGCCAGGCTTGTCTCCTGCCGTGTGTATAGCGGCCAGGCTTGTCTCCTGCCGTGTGTATAGCGGCCAGGCTTGTCTCCTGCCGTGTGTATAGCGGCCAGGCTTGTCTCCTGCCGTGTGTATAGCGGCCAGGCTTGTCTCGTGCCGTGTGTATAGCGGCCAGGCTTGTCTCCTGCCGTGTGTATAGCGGCCAGGCTTGTCTCCTGCCGTGTGTATAGCGGCCAGGCTTGTCTCCTGCCGTGTGTATAGCGGCCAGGCTTGTCTCCTGCCGTGTGTATAGCGGCCAGGCTTGTCTCCTGCCGTGTGTATAGCGGCCAGGCTTGTCTCGTGCCGTGTGTATAGCGGCCAGGCTTGTCTCCTGCCGTGTGTATAGCGGCCAGGCTTGTCTCCTGCCGTGTGTATAGCGGCCGGGCTTGTCTCCTGCCGTGTGTATAGCGGCCGGGCTTGTCTCGTGCAAAGTGTATAGCGGCCGGGCTTATCTCGTGCAAAGTGTGTAGCGGCCGGGCTTATCTCGTGCAAAGTGTGTAGCGGCCGGGCTTATCTCGTGCAAAGTGTGTAGCGGCCGGGCTTATCTCGTGCAAAGTGTGTAGCGGCCGGGCTTATCTCGTGCAAAGTGTGTAGCGGCCGGGCTTATCTCGTGCAAAGTGTGTAGCGGCCGGGCTTATCTCGTGCAAAGTGTGTAGCGGCCGGGCTTGTCTCGTGCAAAGTGTGTAGCGGCCGGGCTTATCTCGTGCAAAGTGTGTAGCGGCCGGGCTTATCTCGTGCAAAGTGTGTAGCGGCCGGGCTTATCTCGTGCAAAGTGTGTAGCGGCCGGGCTTATCTCGTGCAAAGTGTGTAGCGGCCGGGCTTATCTCGTGCAAAGTGTGTAGCGGCCGGGCTTATCTCGTGCAAAGTGTGTAGCGGCCGGGCTTATCTCGTGCAAAGTGTGTAGCGGCCGGGCTTATCTCGTGCAAAGTGTGTAGCGGCCAGCTTGTCTCGTGCAAAGTGTATAGCGTGTAGCGGCCGGGCTTATCTCGTGCAAAGTGTGTAGCGGCCGGGCTTATCTCGTGCAAAGTGTGTAGCGGCCGGGCTTGCGGCCAGGGAGTACAGTGTGTCAAAAAGCTAGCTACTTGGTGCTAAAAAATCCCCATCACACAGGATGGTTAGTCATACAGAGGCATGTGATCAGTAGTCTGCACTGGCAGACTCTGGGAGTATTATGAGGATATCATTAACACAAGAGTGAGTAAGGCAGCAGTGGTGCTAAAAGTCCCCATCTCGCAGGAAGGTTAGTCATACAGGGCCATATGTTTAGCAGCCTGCACTGGCAAATTTTGGGTGCAATATGAGGATATCTTCAAGAACACGAGAGTGAATAAAGTAATTGCAAAGCTCCAGGTACCTCATGCTAACTGGTCTGTAAGGTCTAATAACTGGACATTGCGGGGGTTGAGCTCTGGCTCTTTGGTCCCGCCTCTCAACCGTCAATCAACTGGTGTACAGGTTCCTGAGCCTACTGGGCTCTATCATATCTACACTTGAAACTGTGTATGGAGTCAGCCTCCACCACATCACTGCCTAATGCATTCCAATTGTCAACCACTCTGACACTGAAAAGGTTCTTGCTAATGTCTCTATAGTTAATTTGGGTACTCAATTTCCATCTGTGTCCCCTAGTGCGTGTGGCCCTTGTATTAAATAGCCTGTCTTTATCTACCCTATCAATTTCTTTGAGAATCTTGTATGTGGTGATCATGCCCCCCCCCCCTATCTCTACTGTCTTCCAGAACCGTGAGGTTTAATTCACGTAGTCTCTCCTCGTAGCTCATACCTCTCAGCTCGTGTACTAGTCTGGTGGCAAACCTTTGAACCTTTTCCAGTTTATTCTTACGCTTGACTAGATATGGACTCCATGGTGGAGCTGCATACCCAAGGATTAGTCTAACATATGTGGTATACAAAGTTGTGATTGATTCCTACACACGTTTCTAAATGCCGTTCTTATGTTAGCCAACCTGGCATATGCCGCTGATGTTATCCTCTTGATATGAGCTTCAGGGGGACAGGTCTGACGTAATATCAACCCCCAGGTCTTTCTCTCTGACTCTTGAAGTATTTCATCTCCCAAATGATACCTTGTATCTGGCCTCCTGCTCCTTACAACTATCTTCATTACATTACATTTGCTTGGGTTAAACCCTAACAACCATTTGTTCGACCATTCCTTCAGTTTGTCTAGGTCTTCTTGAAGCCTCAAGCTGTCCTCCTGTCTTATTCCTTTTCATAATTTCATAATTTTAGCGTCGTCAGCAAACATTGAGGGGAATGAATGTATACCCTCCGGGAGATCGTTTACGTATATCAGAAACAGGATAGGACCGAGTACAGAGTCCTGTGGGACTCCACTGGTGACTTCACGCCAATCTGAAGTCTCACTTCTCACTGTAACTCTTTGCTTCCTATTGCTTAGGTACTCCCTTATCCACTGGAGCACCTTACCAGTTATTCCTGCCTGTCTCTCTAGCTTATGCATCAGCCTCTTATGGGGTACTGTGTCAAAGGCTTTCCGACAATCCAAGAAAATGCAGTCCGCCCAGCCTTCTCTTTCTTGCTTAATCTTTGTAACCTGATCGTAGATCACCTATTAAGACTGTAAGGCAAGATTTACCCTCCCTGAACCCATGTTGATGGGTTGTCACGAAGTCCCTTCTCTCCAGATGTGTTACTAGGTTTTTCCTCACGATCTTCTCCATCACCTTGCATGGTATACAAGTCAAGGACACTGGCCTGTAGTTCAGTGCGTCTTGCCTGTCGCCCTTTTTGTATATTGGGACCACATTTGCCAGCTTCCGTATTTCTGGTAGGTCCCCCGTTTCCAGTGACGTACTATACACTATGGAGAGTGGCATGCAGAGTGCCTCTGCACACTCTTTCAATACCCATGGTGAGATTCCGTCTGGACCAACAGCCTTTCTCACGTCCAGATCCAACAGGTGCCTCTTGACCTCGTCTCTCGTTATTTCGAACCCTTCCAAGGTCGCCTGGCTTACTGCCACCTCTCCTTGCGCAGTGATCTCTCCTTGTTCTATTATGAAGACCTCCTGGAATCTCTTGTTGAGTTCTTCACACACCTCTTTGTCATTCTGTGTACCTGTCCTCGCCTGTTCTAAGCGTCATCACTTGCCCTTTCACTGTCGTTTTCCTCCTGATGTGACTATGGAGTAGCTTTGGTTCGGTCTTGGCTTTGTTTGCTATATCACTTTCATAATTTTTCTCTGCTTCTCTTCTCACACTAACATACTCATTCCTGGCTCTCTGGTATCTCTCTCTGTTTTCTGGCGTTTTATTATTCCGGATGTTCCTCCACGCCCTTTTGTTCAGTACCTTTGCTTCCATACATGCCCTATTATACCATGGATTCTTCTTTTGCTTCTCGGATTTTTCCTTTTGGGCCGGGATAAACCTGTTTACTGCCTCCTGACACTTTTGGGTGACAGTCCATCATATCTTGTACAGACTTAGCACTGAGGTCTGTGTCCCATGGTATATCACTTAGAAAACTTCTCATCTCCTCATAATTCCCCTTTCACTACACCAGCCCTTTGTTTTCAGTTCATTTTTGGGGGAGATAATTCCTAACT